AAAAAAGAAAAGAAAAGGAAAAAATCCCCGTGCACACCCCATTCAAAGACGAAGACAAAGATGGAAAACGCCACCCACCCCGTCTGGCCGCGCGAAATGGAAGGAAAGATGAAGCTGTGTATGAGGGAGGAAAATGATGGCGGAAGAGGGAAGCCTCATCGACGTCGTCGTCGCCGGGGCATAAAAACGTGGGTGTAACGAGATTTGTCATGGAAGTACTTCCCGTGAGCGAGAAGACCGCCGTTGGAAGCCACGAGAGGGGTTGAGCGACGGGTTGTTCGCGGAAGAGTGAGAAAGGGAAACCCTCCAAGAGGGGTGGTCTCGTCGAGGGTGCCCGCCGATAGGATAAAGGGAGTCGGATGAACCGCCAACCCTGGGTAGAGCACTGTGTGCACCGGAGCATCATTCAGATATGCAGAAACGTGCAATAATTTTCGTGCTGCACTTCAGCACGAACCGGGTAGATATCGGATACGTGCGACCGCGCGGAGCGTCTGTGCTCCTTTCGGAGATCGGAGCAGGTACTTCTATCGAAACGTAAAATACCGGTATTTTCGGTTGTACCTTCGCCCTATATAAGCCCTGCCCTTATAGAACCCGAAAAAATATCGGTATTTATTTCGGTTTTCGGTAATACACGATATGTTAAAAAACTATTAGCCTCCATTGGCGTAATTAGGTAGGGGCCAGGTGGGCATGCCCCCCCGCCCCCCGTACAGAAATGATTGAAATATGTAAAAAAAAAACATTCGTCAGTTAGTAAAATCTTATTTAAAATCTTATTAGACTTTTTTAAACGTTTAATTTTACGAGGACACAATATTCTGCCAGTCGACTTTATTTTATAAAGTCACAGCTCTACTCGAAAGTTTCAATAACACACAATGCAGTCAGCAAAAGAAGATACTCGAACAGGGCCGTGGTGTGTGTCGGGGCTCGTTCAACGTCCGTGAAGGTACGATTAATAGCTAAGACGTCGGACATTAATTACCGGTGTTGCGACCATGCGCTGGCCCGCGACAATTAATTACCGATCTAGGCGAGGCTACGGGGCAGGTCGCGTCTCGAGACACGAACCAGCGAACTTCGACACCGTAATGGATCGTAATAGATCGCGAAATCGGCGAGATGCCGGTGGCGTAGTGGTTCCTCGTATCAATCCCCCGGGCGTGCGTCTGCCAAATGGTGCTTACGGTTACGCCGCGGAGTTTTCAGTTTAAAACGATCCCCTGCCACACACCGGAGTGGCGAAATTTCGTAACGACTACCGGTGATTTATTCATCGGCGAAAAAATAGAAATAGGCGGACACGGGGAAGGAAGTTCAAATTCTTGGCAGTGCAACAGATCCTAGGCGGATCGTCAAACGTCTTCTCTCTCACTCGGTGCCTTTGTGCCAGAGTACGGTATTACTTGACACAGAAGTGTTTCAAATATTAATTTCGATTTTACGGTGGAGGATGTGCCAATTACACGGACGACCTGAGGTAAGTAACTGTTTGGTGTGATGAATCGGTAATAGCATGGCGGTTATCGATTACTCCGGTGAAAGGTTCTGGAGGTGATGCTTTTATAGGTAGGTATGTTTCGAATGTATTTTTGATCGCTTGAGATTGGTATTGAAGTGACATGTGCATCTTCACTTTATTTTGCATAATTATTTATGCTATAAATAGGCAAAAACTAACGAATTTTAGATTATGCAACGGATATCTACGTAAATATATCTTTGCAAATAGCATGCCAAAGAAAGAGGAAGTGAGAAGAAGTTTAGTTCCTCTATTAAACGTTTTATCAGGTCGAAGATAAGATAAGACTTCCTGATATCGTAATTAATGTTTCGATTTCGTTATATTCGCCACGATTATAACTGCCATATACGCATAAAGTCCGTAGTGCACTAAGAAAAAACAATCTCACATGCAGAAAAGAATTTGTTTAATGATCATTAAGACTTCACCTCATTATCGAGGAGGTAACATCCTACGTCATATACAGCAATAGAATCACGAAACAATAAATTCACTTTGCTCACAGAACAACTATTCGAACACTACTTCTAAAAATCGAAAAGCATACTACACATATTACAAAATTTTGCTTATGAAGCACAAGATCGAATGCCACTTTTAAAAATCGAGAAACGTGACTATATAAATTATAGAAATGTCAAGAATGACGAATTTCCCACATAACTCACGACGAATCGTCAACAGACGAGAGACACCGTGCACCCAAACGAAAGCGGAAACGGTACGATAAAGCTTTCGTCGAATCGCGTGTTCTTTTCCAACGAACCCGTGAATATCACACACTTGCCCGCATATCCATGACCCGAGTCAATAATAAATCGGTTAGCTCGCGTGCCAAGAAGAGGACGCGCTTGGTGGTTCACCGTTTTATTTTATTTTCGACACGAGCCTCGACTCCTTCGGCCAGTCCTCCACCTCCTTCCAACATTTCTTATTTTCCAAACAGAACCGCCAAGTGGAAAGCCACGACCCGCCGCACAAGAAATTCCCAAAAATTTATTCATTTTTAGCTCGTTTACACCAGGCTCCCTCCTTAAAGTACGTTTTCCCCGCGACAGTAAAAGTCACAGGTTTCCTTGTCGTGATACTATAAGACAATATAAACCAATGTGACGACGCCGGAATATCTAATTTTCCACGACGACAAAAGTCATTACGTTTAGTGTCATCAGTCATGCCCGTAAAAGTTACGACTTACTGTCACGTGAAAACGTACCTTTACCCCGAATCCACGCGTTGAAATCTCCAGGCTCTTCGATATTCGTTTCTGAAGCGCCCACGCCACTTAACTTGCAATATTATCCACGGGAACAAGAACAAAAAAAAAAAAAAAGAGGGAAGAGAGAGATCATGATGAAAGGATATGCATTCACATCCGGCCCGGTGGTTTTATTGCGAGCAAAACCCGGCACGACAATGAAAAGCCGAGAACACAAACCGTATAAAACCCGTCCGGGGGGAGACGCAATTTTGCATTTTGAGCCGGCCTTTCATCAAACGGGACCCAGAGGGAAGAAGAGGGCTGGTCCTCAGACTGCGTGAAAATTGCGAACAAGACACAATAAACTGAATAAACGGAGGAAAGGGGACACGCGTCGCGGCCTGGTATACACGATGCGTTTAACGATAATGTGTCAAGGAAATAAATATTCCCCCTTTTTCCGTGATTTCTGATTTGGTTTGGCGAATAAAATGTTTTTTTCTTCTATGGAATAATCAGGATTGGGTTCAGTTTTGTCAAGGTGATATCAGTTTGGTAAAAAACCATTATTTGAAATGACTAGATTGGGGATTTTATGTATTTATAGAATATTAAACTCGTTTTTTGAATTACCCTGTGTACCAAGGATCGTAAGTGTGCCACGATACCGTCAAGAAGAGTATAGTGTGAGCGACAGACGGATCGACGAACGACACAGCTCAGATTTACAAGCGGAGTCGCGAGCCAAGAAGACACTATCCTCGTCCCTGGTGCTTCGACAATCACGGTTTTTATTTTGGACCGGCGCAGAAGGGCGGTATTTTCGTCGGACTTGAATTACCTTCCGAAAATAACCAAACTCTGCGCGTGTTAGCGGCTTCTTTGAATTTTGTAATTGATGGCCACTGTGTATCAACGCGTCTTGCAATCGATAATACTACTGCTGCATAACATGTCGCAATTTGACGAGGACTTACAAAAAAATTAGGGGGCATAACTGAGCAGTAATACCGTGTATCATCCAAAATGCATTTCTTTCATTTTACATGAATTACTGCGTGTACTAAATCCAAACGAGACTAGAATCAGGTATTTCTAATTAAATCCAACGTAGTTCAAACCACTGACCAAAATACACCACGAATATTATTTTCATACTCGGTCTTATTTATATATTAAAATTGCACTTTTGCTATTTCTGGCGCTGGGAGACCGTTCAAACCCCATGGTAATAATACCATCACCGCTTTCGGAACTTTAATGCGGGACGGAATGATAAATCAAGTGTTTTCGTGCAACGTTGTGCAATACCGTCACCTGATTTATATTTGCAATTTGTCTTCGACGTTAAATGGAATTGCGTTTGGTTGGTTAACCGCCGTGCACCGTGTACCCTTACGTAATTGTTGGACAATTGATTTGTCGTAAAAGTAGTCACGAAATTATTAATTATACTTCGGCTTTATTTTTTCTTTGTTCGCGTTAACCTTGAACATGTGGAAGCGGATTATTAATTTTCTCAAACAACAAACTAAAGTTAACTACACTGTGATGAAAATGATTTATTATTTTCAAGTATCAAATGTAATTAAATCACAAGAATTTTATCAGTCAGATAAGGTAGAACATGTCGAACCGATAAAAAGTATATTCCCACAGCCGAAATAGCTCAGTTGGGAGAGCGTTAGACTGAAGATCTAAATGTCCCCGGTTCAATCCCGGGTTTCGGCAAAACATTTTTTTTTACTTTTTTTTTTACAAATAAAAATTGGTACTGCGTGGGAAAGTTTCCAGATGACCGACAGACTGAAAATAAATCGCCGAACTGTTGAATTTTAATGTAATAAAATTGTTTAATCATAACACGGGTGTATAAAGTACTTTCAATCGGGAGTATTCAAATAAAAATGCAGTTGTGACATTATTGTAAACGATTATTAATGAATACTGTATTCGATTTATCTGTCTTGTTAATGTTATAACTACTAAACGTAAATTTCACAACTCTTCCTACCTTCGTACTACGACAACAACTGATTTTAGACTAAAAACATAAGAAAGTTCTTCTTATCTTAATACGATCTAGCACCTCTGTCTGGTGTGGTATCCCCAAACTTTCAACACCCCTGTATCATCAGGTGTCGAGAAACAACAGAGGGGGGAATCTGCCGTTTGGAAAATTAACAGGTGGTTCCCAAAGGGGCACGGGGTTAACGAACCAAGGAACCAGGCGTTAATCAATCAACACAACACAGGCTAGCCTCTTACCTTGCCCTGCATAATCAGGCGGATGGTCAGGGTGACCGAGGGGTCGTCGTTCAAGGCTGGTTTGGGATCCATACCGTCCATAACGAAGTCGCGGATTCTGTGATTACGATGGGAGGTTTTCTTCTCGAGATTTGCGGAGGGAAAGGGTGTGGAGGAGGATAAGGAGGACAGGGGAGAGGTTAGGCGAGTGACTTTGGCTGGAGGGGTCTCGGGGGACGTGCTTCTCAAACGCTCCCAGGTATGCTCAGTCCTTGCACTGCAATCAAAATATGTATATTAGTAATTGATCGATGGACACATTTAAGATATATACAGGGTGTCCCATTTAACACTAGAACTACCAAACAAGTCAAAATGACTTGTCAGTACACTCCTATAACGATGATTAAAATGTTATACCAATACATTTTCTAAGATCTTTGGAACTGTTATTACGATATAAAAGTGAAGAAATTCGTTAATTTACCCATTTGCATATTTTTAACCTGTCCCCTCTACCAACATGATAGAAATAGAAACACGTTCATCTTCGGTAATTCTAGTGTTAATATGAACCAATACAGGTGATCAAATGATATTTGCGGAGGAATAAATATTGCTGCAAAAATTGTCTTTTATGTGTGTTATGGTGACACAAGAAGTATAATCCCACCCAACTTCCAAACACCTTTTCCAGAAAATAATTAATTTCCAAATCGATTAATGAAACATACAAAATTCTAGCACCCGATTCTAAAACTGCTGAGATTTTCAAATCAGAATGCTTCGATCGACGTCCACGCAATTCATTCCGTTGCCCCAAGAACAAATTTCAGCGACACGGCCGACATCAAGAGTCCTTCGGGGACCAGAAAATAAACGTTACACGAGGTTGTTTCAGCCGAATGTTCCAAGGAACGCCAACCAACCAACGTCCAAGTAATCGGCGACAACTCGGCTGACAAAGGGGGGATCATCGGTTGTATTCCGCGTCACGGACAGGTGAACTCTATTTTCGCGGGAATGGCGGCACGCGTGGATCGTAAATGAACGCAACACGATCGTGAGATCACAACCGTGTCACGCGAATATCAGTAATGTAGGCGTGATGCACGACGTTCTGGGAACCGTGAGCTAGAGAAAGAAGACATGATACACGCTTAGTAAATATCCATAGCGTCTGAGCGTATTACGATTTTCCTCGGAACCTAATACACAAAGAAAATTCCGTTACACGGATTTGACGGTGGTATCTTCAACACGCGCGCACGTGTAAATCATCGGCTCTCTTGGTCCTTTGTTGCTTCTAACGAACCGCTTCCTCATTACGGGTGGAACAGCACGTGTATAGAAGCCACTTAAATATAACTTTCTATCACAAAAGAAGCTGGTACAGGACTTAAGCGATGGAAAAATCAGGTTGAATGAAGTCTTTATACGCGGAGTGCCATAATGTGGTAGTACGAAGGGATGATTCTTGGCCGTTGATGCCGTTGCAATTAGGGATTGTAAATTTACCGACTTTTTTAATTACCGGTAATAAAATTTCTAATTATCATGGACGTTTTGAACACGTGGTAATTATACAGAACATTAACATAACCACTGACACAAGTAAAAATTGGCACAATTGGACGATCAATAGTATAAAGTTCAGTGACGATGTCGTATAAAAAGCTTACATTGAATTAAGACGTTAAGAAGCGTGCACGCGAGTGTTTCCGATGCCGGAACATAGGTAAAGGGATTCATTGTTACGAAATGTTGGTCGTTCTAAGGAAACGAAGGCGTGACGCTTCTGGCTATGGCTTCGTCCGTTCAGTTTTCAGGTCATGCGATAAATACTTAAAAGTGCAACCGAGGTGTTTCGGTGGGGGACGCGAACAGCACACCGTTGCTTATTTTACTTTCATGCATCGAGTGCAATTATTCGAACTCCCGGGTTTAATGTTCATCGTCCGAATCAATGGTCAATGACACCTTGCTGTCTTGCTTTTCGTAGCGTTTCGAGCAGTTTTCCTTATTTACATCTTCGTTAATTACACTTTGCGGATGATTATTCTTTTAGATTTTAGATCGCTGGAATATTCTGAATCAACAATAAAAAAACTTCGAAAGCAAAATCTATCTAGAAGCAGGTTAAAGTTTTTTTAACCGAAACAATCGAAGTTGTAGGAAGGGGATCCCGTGTTCGTCGCTACGCCCCTTTCTCAACGCGTCCCCTTCCACTCCGCTCCAAAAAGTACGCCAGACGGGTTTCTTGCTCTGTCCGTTGCGAACGGTGCTTTCAGCTTTGCACACGTCTGGCTGCGTGTCGCGCACGTAGCACAGCAGCAGACACTTTGTTTCGACAAAGAGACACCGGTCCGCATGCTCTGCATACCGCATTATCAGACACAGGCGTTATCTCGACGGGATATTTTGTTTTTCTTCTTCCGTCGGTCGGGACGTGTATCGATCTGACGGTATCTGCATTTCGTACGGTCGCTGAATTTTACGTGCAATAATCCATCGAACTAGTCGCGAGATATCGCCATGATGGTTCACATGCATTATTGATCGACGTTGCAGTTCCTTTTTTAGATAAACTTACAAAACGTGCACTGTACACCGGGTACATATTTGAATCACAAATATTTTATTGAAGAAAATTATAATTATTCAAAATTATGTATATTGTTGACAGAAATTGCAATACCAGGGAAAAATCGAATAGAATTGGGTAGTTTGTTTGTACTAGAGTTGAGATAGGTTCCTGATATAATTCATGATTTGTTAATGGTACGATTTTTATACGACGTGTACTAGATTTTAAGAGTTTGATGACCCCTATGTATTTTATGTGCATTCTTGACTAGGTCTAGTCTACCTAGTTCTGCCCACATTCCTATCAAGTCTATATGTATATATTCTACTCTACTATCCTAAACTTCCTACTCCTGTTTGAATGGTACTCTCGTCGATCGAAGAATAATGAAATGTTAAATATTGTTCCTCCGTGAATTTCAGTATGTTTATATCTTGTTATATGAGTTTATTCCTTTCCAGAACACTTCGAAACTTGCAAATGCACAATATGTCAATATTTATCACCTCGTAAAATGCGCGAAATTCTACGTTTCGTTGAAGCGTGTGATATTTTTCCGATTCACGGAAATCCACATTTTTACACGACCTGTACAAACACTGACGCCGGGCGCGTTTACAATAACGGCGGGCCAACGTGGATCCCTAACTTAGCTTCTACCGATTGTTGCGAAACATACAGGAATGAAATTTATTGTTTACAAAGACAGCTGCTCGGTTCTTAATTAAATTTGGCAATATCCCGAGATTAATCTCCAATATTAACACCGCGGTGAAATCTCAATAATCCCGTAGGAAACAATGCGCCAGAGGCACGCGGTGATAAATATTGTCGCGGTTCGCCGCACAGTCAACCTTTTCAAATAGAAGTCGTGCCCGGTTAACGTAAATACATAGCCGTCTAAACTTTCATCGATTCCGTTGTTCATCGTCCACCAGACCGCCGCTAATTATGAAATATCTAAATTTCAAATTGAAAACCTCTGTTAACGCGAACGCACTATGTATATTTAGCCTCGCCTGTCTTTCTAATCGACCATACGTCTATACTGGCGACTGTGACCGTTTCGCTCCGCTGCTGTCCGCAATGCAATTGGACTGTGGAATTTAGTGCAATCCGCGTTCCGTTATATCTACGTTCAGCGTGTGTGTGCGCGCTAGCCTAACGACGGCAACGGTCGAATCGTTTAAACTATTCGCGATCCTCGCGCGGTCGTACTTCACCCCCCTCGACCGACGGTTCGTCATAAAACCGTCGTTTTTCGAACGGGACGCGACGGGTCGTTGCACCAGACATTGCGTAATGTTAATGGACGACCCGCCGCGACTAATTCGAGCAATCACAATCCATCTGTAATCCGCGCGATCCGGTACGCGAAATCGCAACGATTTGTCAATCCGCATTGTTCCCCCTTTACCGCGCGAGTCATGCTTCGATTTGAACCGAATATTAACGGACATAGAATGCGGAATCACGCAAGAAACTTACGATCGTACCACGCTATGAAAACATCGAACACGTTTCCCCCGTTCATGAAAACAAAAGGATACATGAGTGGGGGGAGGGGGGCAAACGGTAAGGTATGGGGTACCTGCAAAATTTTCTCTTTCACCCGACAATCCATTCGCAGCACTGCAAACAAACCGGGGCTCTTTATATAATACAGAGAACCGGCTTTTCCGTAAATGCAACGACCGACGAGTTTCACGGCGCGATAGTTACTCCGCTTTGCGTCGCGATCCCGTACACTACCAATTTAGAAGATACACCGTAATCCGGAAACGCTTGATTATGATTCCATTTTATACGCTCCCGTGAGATACATAGGTACAATGTTCTTTCGATAGACTGCGGCCACGCGTTCCCACGCGGAAATTTAAAACGGCCAATTACCGTCGCGCACTGTTTCGCGTCGATGGAAACCGAAAGGTAAACAATTACAAGGATATCGGAAGAGCCATTTGAAGGCGTAAGAGTGATGGTATATACTACATAGTATATAGCATCGTTCGCTTTCGGGATCAAAAAGCGTGCAGCGAAAAACAGCACTTGTTTCGTAGGACAGTAGCACGCGGCGGTATAATACGGAGTGTGTGTCCGACACAGTGTGTCGGATACGTGGAAAAAGGTAGGCAGATACAAGTCGACGACCAGAAGCGGTACAGTCACGAGAGAAAACTAATCGCGAGGGTAGAATGCCTCATCTCTCTTACACGCTCGGGGCCAGGCATTCATTCTCTCTACGTTATATCTCGCTCTGTATCTTTTCTCTCCCTCTTTCGTTAATATCCGGAGTAGGGGGAAAAGAACCGATCGTTCGATTTGCCAGCACCAGCTTCCTATCTTCCTCGTTGCTCGGCCTTTGTATTCAGTGTCCGTTTAAATTACGCAGTCGAATGTATTAGCGCCACGAAATACGAGATATTAACGAGTTTACCACGCGGCGACGAAAAACACTGCTTCACTTAGTCACTGTTGCGACCGTTTGACGATAAGATAATCGGGACACCATTGTATGCATGTAATATTCGTATCTACATAGAACACGCTCATCGCCTACGTATAACCGCGATGGAAAACGGGAAACGATTCTCGGTATCGGTTTCGCTTACAAACCTTCGACGGTCTCCGACCGAGTCGACATTGACGCGCGGCGCGTCACACCACGCTGCAAATCGTATCCCTTCCCGGCACCGTGTACGTGCTTTTTTTCCCCCCTTGTGCACACCTTGCACAAGACTGTGCGACACACACGATTCAGCTCGAAAACAACGGCGACGACGGTGCACGATTTACTTGTCGCCCGTTCGAACACGTAATTCACGATAGAATTCGGAAAAATCGTACGCGAACCGTAATAACGCCGGCGCGGCGTGTGCGCTATGGTGGCGCACCGTCGTTGTTCCTTCGTCGTGAACCGAGCGTCCCGAAGGGACGAAGTTCGCATTTTAATGGGGCGCGGCTGTATGAGAATAATTCTTAATTACCTAAATGCACTCCTTAATCATCGGGGATAGAACTGGCTCGCCTCATCGACGCACACTACACTCGATCCACAGAAACGGGGGGAAAGGAAGAAAAACACTACACTCTACGCGACACTGGAAAACTGCACCACCTCGGCGGAACGCGAACGAGTCTAGTTCGTTCTCTCTTACGTCCGGTCTCGCTCTATTCCGTCGATGCGCGGCGCTGCTGCGTGTACGACGTGCGCCGCTAACGCCCCCTCTCGATGTCTCCCGCTACCTCATTCAACGGCCGCACGTCATTGGCTGGCCAATAGCGTTCCTGCTTTACCATTCAACTGCTGACGCGGCGGTAAGTTTGAACGTTCTGTTGTTTCGAATTGAATGCAATCACTCGGGAATGACGTTGTTTTCAGAAGTAACGATTACTTTCTTAATCAAATGTTAGACAATTTATAAACAGAAGAGAATATATAGTGATAAAACTGTTAATAATTCGTGTTGGTATCAGAGCTGTTTCGTTTCTTATTATTTATAAATTTTAATTATAATTTAGGATGGAGGGACTATGGGTGAGTTCTTTAATGGAAAGTAGTTTAGAAATGAAGATAATTTCTCAGTGTAAAATTAGTAAAGAACTTATGTACAAGAGAATAAACAATAATTGTATGATTAAATGCATGTCTTACTAAACATATCAATAATACTATTGTTATATAATGTTCACCCAAGTTTCTGACCTATAAATGCATACAGTGATCAGGTTATCCATACAGGACACTTTAAAGAGCAATTAAATATTAATCGAATCTCTAGCGTTTTATCCTTTTAATATTTGCAGTTGCTGCGAGGGTATGTAGCTGCATCTAATAAGTAGTGCATCATCCTGTATACTAAAAATAATCTATTCTATGGATTAATGGTATCAATGAGAATTAATCAAAACGTGATTGCCAGAGATGCAACGCATCAAGGGATAATCAATTCAAATAAAATTATCGGAGCGCCCGATCAGCTTTAAAAGCCATTGCTTTCGAACAAAAGGTTAAACAAAAAACAATATTCATCAGATTATAACGTACAGTGATAACGCGACAGATGATTAAATTTCCATGTATTAGGCAATGTTTACCGCATTCGTTTACGCGAGAAGGAACAAATCGAGTTATCGTACGGTGCTTGTTAATTTAACATAATATCGCTCGTTCAAATAAACATCCGTATATGCAAATGCTCACTCCACCCGGCGATGGTATTCGCAAACAAACCATTGTGCCATCGAATGTTATTGAAAATCGCTTCTCTATGGCGTTAATTTCACCGACCGCTTCCGAAATTCGACTGAATCGACGATCCACACGTCGCTAGCCTAAAATCACCGATAATCGTCGCGAGCGTCCATAACGATCGTTTGTAAATCGCGCCCTACTACGGCAATCACCGCAATCAGTCGGCCAGTTAAAGCCGTTTCGCGAAACTATGAACGATCGTTAATCATTCCCACTACGCGTATCGATGACTGATTTCCGTTGGAAAACTCGACGGGGCCGTGTTTCTCCTACCTCTTGGTTCCTCGTAGTCATTCAACTTTTCTCCGTCAGTCGAAGGACAAGTCGACCGAAACGGATCGGCCATGTAAAAGTGAACGTCACCCGTGACAAACTTGATAATGAATGGCGGAACGAGTGGCTAAACAAAAGACAGACGTTTACGGACCAATGAGCACTCGTGACTAATTCTAAGAGACGAGTATTCTGTGTCATAATGAGAAATTCAGATTTTAGAATTATCATAATGAAACAATGTATGAGAAGAATCATTCGATCTCATTAAGTATTATGTCAATATAATGTCACAGGTCAATGGTATTTTGAAGTCCTGTTACTGAATTGTTATACGTACCATGCTTCAGTTTATTAGTACTGTGTCTATCTTTTTTAAGCACGAAAATTCGCAAATACAATGTCTCCGAGTTTAAATTCATTGTCACAATTAGATACTTGGCAGACAGGTAAAATTGTCGCTCTACGATTCCTTAACCTTCGCGCGTGTATTTTTAGCAAACAATAATACGGTTTACGAGTCCGAATTCAAAGAGAAAGCTATTAACAAGTAATAAAGATCCGATAAGTCCATAGGTTACGTTAACGTCTCCGTCCGCCATATTGATGTCGCGAAATCCCCAGCAACCCATTTTATTCTGTTCACGTTTCCTGTTATCAATGACGCAACAAATACATTCTGTGCGACTATTAATACTCGCAAATATAACTGCATAAGAATCTGATGTACGGATGGAATATTTTCCAGAAATCACAAGAATTCCTCTAACCAACCGAGTAACGTTCGCATTTCTCACGATTCACGATACATTAATGATATTTCCCCGGTCTTGTCGGACAACAGTATATCTGGGACTTCTTTCGCGTGTTTGACACAGAGTGACATATATTCTTGTACAGCAGTTACACGGCCCATAATTTCGGGCGTATCGTGCAGCTGTTCGTCGTCAGCGGGCGCGCGCGCATGCGAGCGCATAAACAGCCCGTTTGATGGGAAGCGTACAAAACGCGTGTATTAAATACACACGATTAATTAAACGTGTCACGCGCGCGCGTTTCTGGACCACGTTCACCGTTTCGTTTCATTACCGTGACCTCCGTGTAGACGTTGTTTACAGACAATCCTTAAATGTAGCCACGGACGTCCCCTTACGGCGGTCCCCGGAAAGGCCATTATGACGACAATGGCTTGCCATGGGTACTAGCGCGACCAGAAATTTAATTATCATTTTAGGCGATGCGGAAAGCAATTATCGGAAATTCAGTTTGCATTGGCCAATGGAACCTCGATCTAGACTAACGGGAGAACCCGCTGCTACCGTCTGTAGACCTGGCGAAAGAGCGAGCTCATTAGGAAGCACTTTTCTCGACGATTATGCTCCGCGCTTTTAAGTGGCGCACTTTGGACACAGGTACACCATCCTATGGTGGTCCAAGTGAATATCAAATTTCTAAATAGTTATCGTGGACAATACTTTTCCTGTTATTCGTTGGTATCGTTCGATTTGTGAATCGTTCGTTACAGGTCCTCCTACGTTTCAAACTCTCAATTCGATGCTGTGTATCGCTTTAATTCGGAGAGGCTGAACCTTATGTGATATACGATGAAGGTAATATTTTGTCGAACCACCCTGACCTGTTTCCGAGTATTTCTACGAACCTTCGCGTATGGGTTTGATTACGTTTTCTTATTGCGATATAAAGAAAAGTATATTCGAAATGAAATAAGAAAAGAGTAAAATGCCTAACCCAATGTACGTATACTTCCAGATTCTAATAAATCAAAACATAACGTATTGTTTGCTCAGTACAAGCTTTATATTTCCTAAAAAAACAAACATTAAATATGGCAAAATGTAGTGGATTATTTTGTTACTATTCGTTTATATTGACATACACTACCAGGAAAAGTATGAGACCAGAGTTCATAATTATTGATGGAAAGTAATTCATTATTCTGTTACGATACAAAAAAACTTATGGAATCAGTAAATACATATACAAATCGTCTCCAACCAGTTTTAGCACATTACGTTTATCAAATCTTTGTAGAATAATATTTTCCTCTTTCTTTAATTATCAGACCTGGTCCCATATTTTTGCCTGGTAATGTATATCGATATAACAATGATGCAAACAATAATTCAGTGAATTTCACGATGTCCCATAGAAAATAATTCTCCGAGAAGAAAGGATAATAACGTGAATTTCGACGTGATAAACGGAACGTATAACAATTTTTAAAAAAACGATTCGTTATCGGACTTTGATGTTTTTAAAGGAATCAGAAGAGGCCGAGGATCAGGAAACTGCGGACAGAAGTAATAACACGCTCTCGTACGGTGGAGTGTTCAAAGACGATCCTCTGTACGTATTTGATCTCTGCCTCTCTTTCTCTTGCGGTGCACTCTGAAAAATTGCGGACAGTTGTACCGTTTCGAATAACACACGTCGCACCGTTGAAATCGAAGTGGCGGGGGGATACGGAACACAGCAATCGCAATATGGTGGATCGGAGGAAACGTATAATATTTTCTGAGTGGTTAGAAACGCGCTGGATATCTATGCTTTCGGTCGCGACACAATTCCCGGGATGTTCTCCAACGCACGGGAAAACTGTTCGTCACCGAAACCACCAGGGATACCACTTCGGATACCACTTGTATTTTCACGACGGTGTACGGATGGATCGAGAAACTGATGATATTAAACGTATGTATCTCCTCGATCGGAATTTTATATATTATTTTTTTTTTTTTTAAAGAGAAGAACTTATCATGTCATACTACAATAATAATTTATGCGGTATGAATCACACATTTACTATTTTCTTTGTCTATTGTCACGATTAAAGATGTATCTACGAATAAATTTTTAGAATAAACTATCCTCGATGTTAATATTACTAGTAGAAATAATATATTATGTAATGCTACAATCATAAATAATATGGCGTTAAAACTTTTCGTTTGTCAAAAATTCGACAGTTTACCCACCATTGTTTTCGAGAAACCAAAGTCAGAGGGAATCCTCAGTTTTTGTAGATCTGCTTTAAACCTCAGCCAACTCTGACCGCGTAGTGGTATGTTGAAAGAATGCTAATCCGTGGGTTTAAACTTGATTCAGGACTCGGCAGTGAGCCGGAAAATTATTGTCTACTATTTCATCCCTCTGGTTTCTTCCCCTGACACACAGTGTAATGGACGAACATCTGGACGTGTCTGCGTATGTATGGGTGAAATGCTATCATTTCGAAATTTTAAAAAATGATATATAATTATCAAAATGATAAACACAATTTTTTCTTTGTTGTAGCATCGACACATAACACGAAAAATGTTATATAACATTTTTCTTTCTGTTCTTCTAACAAGTTTTATAACTTTGCTATACAACTTGTTATGCTATACAATGTTATGCTTATTATGTATAGTATAGATGCAGCTTTAGAGAAGCCAGAAACGGAGAAGCTCGACCTCGGGTCGCTTCACCTTCGCCACGGACTCTTCCATTTCCATCCCCTTGGAACAGCAAACCCGTCTCTCCTCGTTCGCCGACACGAGGATTCGAGCCGAGGCAAACAAATGCCCTCGGCTCGAGCTCACCGACGTGTCCGAGGGAACGACAC